ATGGCTCAATGCATCTCTCCCCGACTCCATTACCACAGTAAGAGACTATCATGTTTACCGATCAGATCGTGAAAATCGTCGAGGAGGTGGTGTTGCTATCTTCTATAAAAAATCCTTACATCTAAAAAATATCCAAGTTACCCAGGAGCTTGCTCTTCCTGAGACCATCATCTGTGAACTATCCTTAAATATCACAATTCGATTCTTACTATGTTACAGAGCACCTGATTATGACATCGAACATGTAAACAAGCTAAATACATTACTAACATGGGCTGCATCCTGCCCATACCCTTTTATCTTTCTTGGTGATTTCAATCTACCTCATATTGACTGGACCCTAAATGATTGTACAACTGAAATCATACACACAACCTTCTACAATGCTATTACAAATCTGGGACTGGAACAACTAGTAACCAACAACACTAGACTAAACAACTGCCTCGATCTCATCTTCTGCAATAGTTTGAATTTAATTTACGGAATACAAACTAAAGAACCCTTTTCCAGCAGTGACCACAATATGATTGACTTTTGTCTCAACATACGTCCACACAAAAATCACCACAATGATGTAATCCCCAATTGTAACTTCAAAAAAGGCAACTATGATCTTATACACAACGATCTCTCATCCCTTGATTGGCAATCTCTATTCAATGGATGCAATACTGTTGAAGACCATTACAACATATTTTTACTTGAAGTCAAAAGAGTCATCAAACTATACGTACCAACAACAACTCCCAAAACAAAACAAAAAAGCAGATTACCCATATCAATAAGGAAACTTCAATCCAAAAAGAGATCACTCTGGCGGAAAAACAAATCTGGTCACGTTGCCAATTTCAAAAACCGATACAAAAATTTATGCCACCAGATAAAGACCGAATGCACCAATTATCACATTAAACAAGAGGAAAACCTTCTAAGCACCAATTCCACCCGTGCTTTTTAAAATTTTGTAAACAACAAACTAAAAGACTCAAGGTCCATCCCTCCCTTGATAGGACCTGATGGTAAAGACTGCAACGACGACACCATTAAAGCCAACATCTTTAACACATTCTTCGGCTCAGTATTTGTAAACAGCAATGGATCATGCCCAGTATTTCCTAGCCGTACCACAGATAACAACAATGATCTAATACATATCGACTTCACAGAAGACAATGTTGAAAAAGCACTACGCAATCTAAAACCATCTCTATCTATTGGACCGGATGGAATATGTGCCTACTTCTTAAGAAAGCTATCCACTGTCATAGCCAAACCTCTAAGCATAATCTTTGAAAAATCTTTCAGAACCAGCTCCTTGCCTAACCTATGGTCACAAGCCACAGTCATCCCCATCTTCAAAAAGGGAGACCCAAGCCTAGTTGAAAATTACAGGCCAATCTCCTTATGCTGCGTCACCTGTAAAGTCATGGAATCAATTATTAACCAATCCATCATCCTCCACTTAGAGACAAATAACCTACTCTCCAATAAACAATTTGGTTTCAGAAAAAAACTATCCTGTAATCTGCAACTCTTACACTGCAAAAACATATGGACGACACAACTCGACCAGGGCAAAGCAATAGACGCAATCTACATAGACTTCTGTAAAGCCTTTGATTCAGTGGTACACGACAAACTACTCCTAAAAATAAAATCCTATGGTATCTCTGGACAACTGAATAACTGGATAGAAGCATTCCTGTCAAACAGACAACAAATGGTCAAAATCGGGAGCGTCCTATCAAATCCAGTACCTGTCAATAGTGGTGTTCCCCAAGGCAGTGTTCTAGGACCAACTCTCTTCATACTCTACATAAACGACCTCTGTGATCATATTAAGAGCAATTGCGTTCTCTTCGCTGATGATGTAAAGCTGTTCAATACCACAGACAATACTGCTACCCTACAAAAAGATCTTGACTATGTATCAGAATGGTCAAACAAATGGCAACTTCAAATCTCAACAAATAAATGCTCTGTCTTACATATTGGCAAAAAAAATCAGAAAATAAAATACAAGCTGAATAGTCAAGATCTTGTTGATGACCCATGCTCTGTAAAGGACCTTGGAATACTCACCTCTAATGATCTAAGTGCTAGAGCCCACTGCAACTACATAGCCAAAAAGGCATTAAGAGTTGTTAACCTAATCCTACGTAGCTTTTTCTCTGGTAATATCACACTACTAACCAGAGCATACAAAACATTTGCTAGACCAATACTCGAATACAGTTCATCAGTCTGGAATCCACACTACGTATCTGATATTAGCACAATTGAGAAAGTCCAGAAATATTTCACAAGAAGAGTTCTCCACTCCTCTACTCGCTGTAGAATACCTTATGCCACCAGACTTGAAATTCTAGAACTAGAAAACCTTGAATTACGCCGTCTTCGGTCTGACTTAAGCATGTTATATAAAATCATACATTGCAATGTCCTACCTGTCAATGAATACTTCAGCTTCAACCATAACAACACAAGAGCACACAATAGAAACAAACTCAAAGTAAACCGCAGCAAACTTGATTGCAGGAAATACGACTTCAGCAATAGAGTGGTCAATGTCTGGAATACTCTACCCGACTCTGTAGTTTCTTCCCCAAACCCCAAAAACTTTAACCTTAGACTGTCTACTATTGACCTCACCCCTTTCCTAAGAGGCCTGTAGGGGGCGTGCATAAGCGCACCAACGTGCCTACCATCCCTGTCCTATTGTTTCTCTTATTCTTTTATTTTTCTTATATGTACCCATTTCATGTATTCACAACTATGTATACATTTATACTTATTATCTTGTAAACAATTGGCAAATCAAATAAATAAATAAATAAATAAATAAATATACTTGACAGCAAGATGCAGTACACTAAAAGAGAATAATTATATCAAACTTAAGCAGCAGATAGCGCTAGATTTGGCGAAATAGGAAAATTTACAACTGTCATTAATAGGGAGAATATCAACAATCAAGATGAATATACTACCCAGAATTTTATATTTGTTCCAAACAATTCCAGTTAGGCTTGGAAAAGATTATTTTGAAGATTTAAATAAAATTCTGTTGAAATATATATGGCAAGGTAAGAAAGCGAGAATAAAGTTAAAACTTTTGCAAGATGCCAGAATAAGAGGAGGATTTGGTTTGCCTAATTGGGAGTTGTATTACCAAGCTACAAATTTGATGTGGGTTAAGGAATGGATTAAGAAATACTAGATTGTTGACATCAGAAGGACATGATCTGTTGTTGGGGTTTTCTATGGTATAAAGGAACTAAAACACAGGGGTATTTTAGAAGACATTATATACGGGAGTCTCTGTGGTTAAATTGGGAGAAGACTAAAAGGCAATATTATTTGAAAATTCCAGTCTGGCTATCGACTATTGATGCATTTTCTTATTTTATAATATATAAAAAGGAACAAACAGTTAGATATGGTGAAATATTGAATGAAAAGGGTGAACATAAATATATGCAAAAATTAGAGGAACAAGGTATAAAGATGAATTGGTTTTCATATGCGCAAATACATTTAAGGTATGACAAAGATTCTAAAACAGAAGGTTTCTATGATAAACTGACTGATTTAGAAAAGATTTTGACAGGTACTGATGAAAAGGTGATTAAAAATTATATGGATATTTATTAGAAATTAAACTAGAACAAGAACAAGTTAAAGAAACTATGATTGCTTGGGGAAGAATTTTGGATATAGGATTGATCTAGAGAAATGGCAAAAATTGTGGTCTCAAAATTATAAGATGACAATGTCAACAGCATATAAAGAAAATTTGTATAAGATGTTTTACAGGTGGCATTTTCCCCCAACAAGAATAGCAAGAATGTTCAAGAACAAATCCGAAAAATGTTGGAAATGTCATCAGATACCAGGCTCATATTACCATATGTGGTGAACTTGTGCGGATGCCAAAAAATACTGAACTAAAATCCACACGTGGTTGGAAAAAATGACAAAAAAGCATATAGACTTGAAACCAGAGATATTTTTATTGGGAGTTTTGCCTGAAATACATAGTAAATAATTGATTGTAAATGTATTAAGAGCGGCTAGGATTGTATTTGCCAAAAACTGGAAAAATGAGAAAACACCATCACAGGAGGAAATCATTAAGAAAATATTGGAATGTGCTGAAATGAATAGATTGACATTTGAAATCAGAGAACAAGATGATAAACAATTTTATAAAATTTGGGATCTATTCTATCAATGGTTAGACAATAAAACATGGTAATGAAATATGTAGATTCTTAGAAAATAATAAATATATAAAGATTTATTCTTTTCTTATTATATCTACAAAATGACTGTAGGATAGATTTGAGATGATAATATGAACTGTCATAAAACAAATTAAGTAAAATATGGATTATTTCATAAAACATGAATGAATAAAAGTATAGTCAAATGATTGATTAACAATGATATTAATGTACTTAATATTTGATTGAAAATATGAGAATATATACAATGTAATTGTAATTGAAGACTACGAAATGGAAGCACAAAACAGTTTGTAAACCAACCGACACACTGTATGTATATATATATGGAAGATGGCTTGATGTTTTTATGTTTTGTCTGTCTATGTTTGTCTTAAAAACCAATAAAACACATTTGATACAGATTGAGCAGAAAAAAACCTGAACATCATCTCAAAGGGCACCAAGTCCTGTATCATCGTCAGTCACGTTTTTTTACACCCTCAAAATGCTTCCCAGGCAAATTCAGTTTTTGGGTCCTTTGTTCATGAGCCTGCTATTCTCTGATTTCAGTTCCTTCCATCTTGGCTAGCACAGCAAAAAGGCAGGAGAAGACTGTTTTCTGAACTGTCTCCCCTTTGCCAATTTCTCCACTGTATCATGTCAGAGTGATTAGTTAATCCTCTTTAAAATAGGGGTATTTGCCCACTGTATAGTATCTTGTCAGAGTGATTAGTTAATTCACTTAAAAATAGTTATGGTTATACTTACCACCCAGATCGCAAATGAGTGGGAACTGGGACAGGTCAAAGGCAGAAAGCACTTCTCTTCCTAGGACAGGCCAGTGCTCATTAAGAAAACCGGATGAGGTTTGTAACTCTTCCTTTGATCTAGAATTCAAATAAACGCTACCAAATAAACATCTCTAAATATAGCTTTATAAACTGCTATTGTTGTTATTATTTTTAATATCTGTTTATGTTTCAGTGAAAGCAATTTTTTACAGGATCATTTAAATGATGGTGACCAGGATTTGGAAAACTCTGTATGTGATACGTGAAACAGTCCTGCCATTTCAGTGGCCAATATTATAATGTTCTTGAAACAAAACAGATTCATACAGTTGCTGTATTGCAGGCTAGTGCTTTGTACATTAAAAAGAAATGCCTGATCAATTATATAAGTCACAACAGTATTCCAATGCCATAAAAAAGAGGTTGAAGATGATGCTAATGATGGGTCAAGAACATATAACAGAGATATGGACTCTTACCCCAAGCTGGCATGCTTATTCTAATGGGTGGTTCTTTTTCTCTTGCCAACGAACAGCTGATTTTGCCCCCAAAGCTGGTTATTTGATGGCTTTGCTCTCTGTTTTTTTGAAAAGGGGACTAGGAAAGATCCAAGATCTTCAGATTATCATACACCTACGAAGAAGAGGGGATGGCCAGAATTCTTGATCTTGGAATGTTTGATGTCTTGCTAACATTTCCCTTCGGTTGTTCATTTTTCTTAAGGGTCAGGCTGATAGGTCTGTAGTTTCCTGGTTTCCTTTTTTGAAGATGGGAACTACATCAGCTCTTTTCCAGTCCTCTGGCAGTTCCCCGGTGCTCCAAGATCTTTGGAAGATATAGTTCAATGTTTCTGAGATCTCGTCTGCCAGTTCCTTCAAGACCTTGTGTAATCCAAGTGGTCCTGGTGATTTGAACTCGTCTAGGAGAGACAGGTGCTCACTTACCATTTTCTTCCCTTTTTTTTAAACTTGTGTTCCTAATCGGTTTTTTGTGGTGTTGTTTTTAATAAGTTAGACTGTTTTTTTCCCTTTGTGTAAAGACAGATGCAAAAAATGAGTTAAGTAGTTTTGCTTTCTCCCTTGTTGCTTGTCACCTTGCCACTTTCTCCCAGCAATGGACCAATTGTTTTCTTGATTTTTTTTCTTGTTTTTAATATGTTGGAAGAAGCTTTTTTTTTTTTTTTTTTTGGTTATTTTTTACTTTTGTCACATTATGAGCCTTAGATTTCCTCCCTTCATCTTTCCAGGCTTGGGCTATTTGCTGATATTCTGCCTTAGTTATGTGCCCCTCTTTCCACTTTTTATACATGTATAACCCCTTGCTGGACTTTTACAACTTCTTTTGCCCTTTCAGTATTTACATTTCTTGACGAATGCATCTTTTTCTTTTATATATACTGGGAATATTTGCACCAAGACAAATTCCTTGTGTGTCCAACCACACTTGGCCAATAAAGAATTCTATTCTATTCTATTCTATTCTATTCTATTCTATTCTATTCTATTCTATTCTATTCTATTC